CTACAAACAAAAAAAGATGTACTAGTAATTTAAACCATTGGTAATGTAAGGATAGACCATAGTGTCCGACCTGATAAAATGATTCAAATTCATGAATTTTAAGAACTGTAATTAATAAAATAAAAGCAACTCCTTTAATTTGAAGGTAACAATAGGGTAGACTACATTAAAAGAGGAAAGAAAGAGTGAGAAGGGGGCGTCACCTTTCCATTGCTTAGTGCACCGAGTCCTTTATGCCAACTGCCAATCAACTGATATTTTATTGTGTTCATGCTATAAATTGGGATTTTACATTGAATAAGACAGCACCTGAGCTAATCCAGCTGTTGATAGAATGGTAAAGTATCAAATTGAGTGCGCCTTTCTTTTGTCAAAGGTAATTGCTTTCTACTGTGCAGAATGAAGTCATAAAACCAATAATCAATGGGGTGTTAAGCATCATGAAAGCATGTGCTAAAACCGAAACTGTTAGAAGGTTTCTGTTCACATCATCTGCAGGAACTATGGATGTTGCAGAACACCAAAAGCCCTTCTATGATGAAACCTGTTGGAGCGATCTTGAATTTATCCAGGCCGAAAAAATGACTGGTTGGGTTAGTTTGCTGCTAGCTTTCCGAATTCCTAATCGTGGGGAGAGGAAAAATATTGTCGAATTCTAATCCTTTTTCCTGGTTGATATGTAGATGTACTTTGTCTCCAAAGACCATGGCAGAGCAAGCTGCCTGGAAGTTGGCTAAAGAAAACAACATCGATTTTGTCAGCATAATACCACCTTTAGTTGTTGGTCCATTTATTATGCAGTCGATGCCGCCAAGCCTCATAACTGCACTTTCTCCCATCACTGGTACAGGCTCTTCTCTGTGATTTTCCAGAGTGTGTGATCACTGCTTGAATTTATACACAAGATTTAACATAATTTTTCTGCTGAGTTGTTTCAATTCAGGGAATGAAGCTCATTACTCGATCATAAAACAAGGCCAGTTTGTTCATTTAGATGACTTATGCAGTGCTCATATCTTTCTGTTCAAGAATCCTAAAGCAGAGGGCAGCTACATTTGCGCCTCTCACCATGCTACCATTCTAGATATTGCAAAGATGCTTAGAGAAAAATACCCTGAATACAATGTTCCTTCCGAGTAAGTTCCTTACCTGGTAAATATAACTTGTAAAGGTTGGGATTATTTCCTCACACATTGTTTAGATTTCGATTGAATTACCAGAATTTCGATTCCGGGCCTGATGAGACAATTGTGGTCACGTTCAAGGACGTGGATGAGAGCCCGAAGAGTGTGGAATTCTCTTCAAAAAAGCTCACGGACTTGGGATTCGAGTTTAAGTTCAGCTGGGAAGACATGTTCACAGGAGCTGTTGAAACATGCCGAGAAAAGGGTCTGCTTCCTCTTTCCAATGAGAAGAAGATCGATATAAACTAAAAGATGTACTGTCTGGCAATGATTGCCATTGTCTTCCACCTCGGGCTTTGGAAAATAAAGATTTGAATTGGGCATCAGCTATTGCGGTATTGTAATATGGGGTCGGCCATATCTATAAATTATCTTATGTATTTCGAACTTCGTAGAAATCAAGGTCCCACGTTCTTTTTCTCTAATTCTTTCCAATTCTTATTAAAAAAGGAAAATTGCAAGCTTTGATCCATGGTGTTCATGCACAAAGCACAGACATAAGTAACCTTAACTACCAAGATTAAAGGGTTTCCATTTATTGAAAAACATTAATCAAATAAAAAAATTATTAAGGGTTTCTACCCTTCAAATTATATCTTCTCACCTGATCAGTTTCATTCCAACACGAGGAGTTGTCACCAGAGAGTCAAAAGACGCTGCTGGAAGCAAAGATGAGATGGGAGAAAGGCCCTAACGAGTTAGATTTACTTTGATTAGACGCTAATTAACCACATTACCATTAATCAATTCTTGCATACAAGTTTGATGTACATGTTTAATTGAAAGCTATAGAGTCCAATTGACCAAACTCTCGTCTTTCAATTGGACTAATAATTATTTAAATAGTTATTCAAGTTTGGGCCCTATTCTCTATATTGAGATTACATTGAATTAAGTGGTTCTCTACAGCTATATGTTTGACAATTTTGTTTGTATAAATGAAATACTTTTTTGGCGATAAATAATTACCCTCCAAATCTTTATGACTTGAAAGATTTTAATTGAATGAAAATGAGGGTTTGGAGACTTCTGAATAACCTGTCATTTCCATTAAAATGTTCTCCAAATGATGTCACTCCTTCCCCTTCTACCTTTCTTTCTTTCTTAATTTTTCCTTTCCATTCTTCTTTCCCAATCAATCTAAAGTTCAAAACAAAACATTTTTAGATCCTACACAAGCAAAACTATAGGAGAAAAAGGCTAGCATATCCTTTGTGGTGGATGAGATAGATGACAAACTAACTTCTTGGAAGCAAACAGGGGTTAAAAAAGAGCTAGAAGAGTCAAACATTGAATTTAGTTACTAATTGGAAAAGGAGGTGACATGAATGAGCAATAAATCTTATATTTCTTAATCTGAACCCTTAGTTATAATATTAGCTGTGTTATTATTATTATTTTATTGTTTTAAACACTGTTAGTAAGAAGTAAAAGGCTTCAGTTCTATACTATTACTATTACTGTTTTAATTACGATTATAAATTTATAATTATAATGAAATAACAACATGTAATTCATATTTAAATTATTTGTAAAACAAAACGCTCCACCTACCGTTCAACCCTAAGCTTTATTAGTATTGCTAATAAACTGTAACCGAGGAAAGCAAAACCTAGAATCATAATTTCAATGCGACATATTACCATAAATAGAACTTATAACATTTTAAGACAGTTAAATTTAGTATATACCCATCTCAACTGAAGACATGTTTGTCTTTGTCTGGTGTTGAGATGATTTCTTTATGAAGAGAATCAATGAACTCCTAAGTGATTGAATTCAAAGGCATCGATGACTGATTTTGAACCTTCTCTAAACAAATTTGAAGTTAAAACCAGGTGTAATTTTGCTTGAAAAGAACAGATCAATAATGTTGAAGGATTGGTTACTGTTAATTACCAACCAACCAAGCACGTGCGGATTCGTCAGTTGACCACCCAGGTTTGGTGGGAGTTTAGCTACAGTGTTGGGGTGTATGTTAGATGGAACTAAAGATCAATCTGCTTGGACCATCCAAGGCACTTCCTATTCCTCATTCCAGTTTCGTCAGTTTTCCTGAGGCATGTATCCAATCTTATATAAGCTACCAAGTCCGAACTTTATGAAGGCAAACGATTTTTCCTTGAATTGTTATCTCCCTATTAGTGGTGTGTAGGGCTTCTTTAAGCTATTTCCCAACCCCAACTCATCAAATCCTAGGAAAGCCATGGGATCAGCAGCTCAGAGCGTTTGTGTCACAGGAGCATCTGGTTTTATCGGATCATGGCTCGTCATGAGGCTCCTGGAGAACGGCTATGCGGTTAGAGCCACCGTGCGTGACCCTGGTTCGTTTTCCTTTCTACCATGACCTTGACCAATCCATGTTGACTTGGTTTGCATCTTTGGGTCTGTTTGAAATATACTCAGTACAACTATTCTTTTTGCTTCTGATGATAACAGATAATGTAAAGAAGGTGAAGCATTTGCTTGAGCTGCCTAAAGCCGACTCCCACTTGACTTTGTGGAAGGCTGATTTATCTGAAGAGGGAAGCTTCGATGCAGCAATCCAAGGCTGCACTGGAGTGTTCCATGTTGCCACTCCAATGGATTTTGAGTCCAAGGACCCCGAGGTTTAGTCTTTTATCAGTTGAAATTTGTCAAATATTAGTAAATTTATACGACTTGCTTTACAAAGGAGTTGACCAACAAACAAACTTGTTTTCCATTTCTGGGTTTTTTCTTTTCACTGCAGTATTACAATTTTGAGTTTCTTACTTTTTAGTAATCATAAGCAAATAACAATAAGTAATAATGGGTTATGGATTATGTTGAGTTTGGTGTGCTAATTCTACTATGGTGCTAAACTGGGGAAAACATTTTACACTCGAAATGGGTTTCACTGTCATGTTTCTTTAGTTCAGATGATATATATTTTGTTCTGTAAAATGGAAATAGCAACTCTGTTTTCAAATTTTAGGTAGCTGTTATCTTATTTGACTGATTACTTTTGTTCTTAATTTGTAGAATGAAGTGATAAAGCCAACAATAAATGGAGTATTGGACATCATGAAAGCATGTGTCAAAGCAAAGACGGTCAGGAAGTTGGTATTCACATCGTCAGCTGGAACTGTCAATGTTGAAGAACACCAGAAGCCTGTTTATGATGAAAGTAACTGGAGCGATTTGGAATTTGTCTACGCCGAGAAAATGACTGGATGGGTTAGTGATTAAGCCTGGTTTCTCCCTTTTCTTTCATCTTTCAAGAAGAAAAAAGAAACTTAAAGCCCTTTCTTTCTGGTTTCTAGATGTATTTTGTCTCCAAGACTTTGGCTGAGCAAGCTGCTTGGAAGTTTGCTAAGGAGAACAACTTGGATTTCATCACTATAATCCCTACTCTTGTGATTGGTCCATTTCTTATGCCATCAATGCCACCTAGCCTGATAACTGGCCTTTCACCCATCACCGGTACTTGCCACTGCCATTGCCATTTTTGCTTGAAGGGAATACTAATACAGGGAATAAGTTTTAACATAAGTTTTTTCTGCGAAACATTGTTTCAATACAGGGAATGAAGCTCATTACACGATTATTAGGCAAGGCCAGTTTGTCCACTTGGATGATCTCTGCATGGCTCACATATTCTTGTTCGAAAATCCTAAAGCAGAGGGCCGCTACATTTGCTCCTCCCATGAAGCTACTATTGCTGAACTTGCCAAAATGCTAAGAGAAAAATACCCAGAGTACAATATTCCTACAAAGTAAGCCAATTCAATTCTAACAGAATATAAAAACTTGGCATTAAGATTTTCTGCTACTCCCATGGATGTGTTACATATTTGGTCGCTTGATTCCTCAGGTTCAAAGATGCGGATGAAAACTTGGCAAACGTAGTCTTCAGTTCCAAGAAGTTACTGGACTTGGGTTTCCAGTTTAAATACAGTTTGGAGGACATGTTTACAGGAGCCGTCGAGACATGCCGGGAAAAGGGATTGATTCCTGCTCCTATTAAGAAGGATGCTGTCGATGCCAAGGGTTGTACAACCCCTGTTCCTGTTGAAACGGCAGTCAATGGCACAAGTTAGAAGAACAACATCAATTATCTAACCATGGATGTCATCATGCTTATGGCTTTCGTTTTGATTGATGAAAATAAAAGATTTTCCTCAAGAATTGTGGAGTTTGTTCTTGCTCATGTATTGCAACTGGGGAAGGGGAGGGGGGGCCAAATTATGTAAAATCTACCTCATGATTATGAGTTTTGGAAGTGGTTGTACTTTCGGTAATATTGCTTATGTTATTTATTCCAGGAATTGGTCAGATTATCATCCTCATGGTACCCTAAACTAGTAGCAAAGATTCAAATATGATTATGAATACCCTTTTCATCTCTCCCACAAATAGCTACTAGACTGAAAACATTTGGTAAGGTAATAACTCGTGACTGGGAAAATTAGTAGTGAAAACAATCAGGTTATTATTATTTTGCAAGATATTGAATTGAAACATGGTTTCCTATTCAAAATGAGGATATATAGACCCTTGATTTTGTGAGAATGGTGGTTCCTGATCCTGACTGACTCTGGCTGGTAGATGAAGAAACTTGGGTGGTCGATGCATTCAAGAACCTAGCTTGGCAGTTGGGTGTGGATTAATTGGGTATTACCATTAAGTTCCTTCTGTTTATTTGGTATGGGATATTTAGAATTTGAATAGGGTTCGAGTTATAAAATTACTATTAATCATGATTTAAGATAGTGTTTCTAAGATGCCTACTATTTGAATTCAATTTTAAATAATAATTTTTAACATTAAATTTTAATTTATGTAGGATAAGTCAATGCAGGGGTTATATCTGGCATTTGCTTTGCTACATCACACTACCGATTAAGGTAGTTTTTTGTATTCTTCTTATTGAGTAATCAAATTATTAGAATTACCTTTCACAAAAATATTAAATTTTAGTTGCGTTATATTATTTTTAAAGTCTTTATAATTAATATAATATTTATTAAAATTTATTAATTATGTTAAATATAATTTTAAATTTTAAATTATTTTTGATGAATTAATTTTAATTTATTAATTTAATTTCTTTAATAATGTACATAAAAATTGATTTTAAATTTATTTTATTCACCTATTTAACCGATAATGTTTAAGATATTTGGGTAAGATTTGAATAATAATTTTAAAATTTAATATAATATTTATAGGGTTTAAATGCTCAGTGTATTATCATTTTAATAGTTTAACAATAAACATATGAGTATGGGTCGGGCCAGATGCAGGCCCTTTATAGGCCTGGCCCATTGTAATGTCCTGTTATTTTATTTTGAACAGCACTCTGCGCATTACAACGGAAAGGCAGGGGCATTTCAGTCAATTCGTACTCTATAAAAGCTCTCCTTAAACCCCTCGCAACTGGCATTTCACTCTTCTGCTGTTAATTCTTTCCCACCGAAAACAATGGCGGCGATCTCTGGCCAGTGCACATTCCGATCACCCAAATTGCCTCTCTCTTCCTCCTCCTCCTTCTCATTCTCCGGCGGAGCTGTCCGATCTTCACGCATTTCCTTCGCTTCTCCTCCGTCGGTCCGCCGAAACCACGTCTCTTGCCAGGCCTCCTCCGCCACCTCACCACATTCTTCTTCCGTCAATGGGACAGGTTCATTTTTTTCGTTATTTTTGAGTTCAGTCTTTTAACCGGCTTTTCTTGGTTTTGATATTGGATGAACAATTGTGAAGGTGCTTAGAATTAGGGTTAGCATCTTGCTTTAATTATGGTCTAATCACAGAAATGTTCATTAGATGAAGAAATTTTTCTGTTTTTGAATAATGTAGGCTTTATTATATGCTTCTCTATGATTAAGCAATTGAAAGGTTAGGTCTTTTGATTGATTAAGAATATGGAGGTAATCAATACTGAATATTTCAAAAACTCTTGCAAATTTTTGTTCGAAATTTTGAATGAGCAAATTGGTTAGAGTTTACAGAGTTTATTGTACTTTTATTCATTTTTGTTTGCTATTTTACAGCAAAAGGGGAGATGAAGGATTTTTTGCATATTAGCGACTTTGATAAAGCTACCATAATGAAGATATTAGACAGGGCTGCAGAGGTCAAGGCACTGTTAAAATCAGGGGATAGGTCATTTGTTCCATTTAAGGGTAAGAGTATGGCAATGATTTTTGCAAAGCCATCAATGAGGACACGAGTTTCATTCGAGACTGGATTTTTCTTGCTTGGAGGTCATGCTGTATATTTGGGACCAGATGATATCCAGATGGGTAAACGTGAGGAAACTCGTGATGTTGCTCGTGTCTTATCTCGCTATAATGACATCATTATGGCACGTGTATTTGCTCATCAGGTATGATGGTGAGTTTTTTTTTCTTCCGAGTAATTATATCGTAGGATGGCCTCATTTTAATGTGATTTTTTTTAAAAAAATTATGCTTAAAGATGCAATTTCTTTATCTGTTCTGTTGCAGGACATTCTTGATTTGGCTAAATATGCTACTGTACCTGTCGTGAATGGCTTGACAGATTACAACCACCCTTGTCAAATAATGGCTGATGCCCTCACAATTATTGAACATGTTGGCCAATTGGAAAGGACGAAGGTGCCTTTCTTGCTATTTTATCTTGTTTGTTAGTTTCTATACTGTGGATCTAATACCTGGTTGTATGATTTAACTTTGGTTTGATGTGATTGCAAATTTCAGGTTGTCTATGTTGGAGATGGAAACAATATTGTGCACTCTTGGCTGTTGTTGGCTGCAGTTGTTCCTTTCCACTTTGTCTGTGCCTGCCCTAAAGGTTTTGAGCCTGATAAAGAGACTGTTAAGAAGGCACAGCAAGCTGGGATCAGCAAGATTGAGATTACAAATGATCCGAAAGAAGCAGTCAAAGATGCTGATGTTGTGTATTCAGATGTGTGGGCTAGCATGGGGCAAAAGGAAGAGGCTGCCTATCGTCGTCAAGCGTTTCAAGGATTTCAGGTGTGTTTTAGCACAGATTCTTCTTTCAAAATATTGATGTCAACATTGAGTGATAGAGGAAATCATTTGGCTCATATGCTATTCCTGATTGATGCCAATAGTGGATTTGACCATGCAATCACCAACTGCATAATTCAAATCCTTTATGCTTTTTCCCTATCCTCTTGCTACCCATAATATTTTATTCTAAAATTTATAATGAGAAATTCTCGGCCTGAATTATGAATGAGCTCTTCTTGTGAATTTTTCAGTTTGTGTAGTGTTAACATGAATTAACTGCTTCTCGTAGCAAATCACGTTCTTATACCTTCTGCATTAAAATCTGGTGTGCTGTGTTATGTGTCATGCCTGATCTGCATGCCAATATTTTGCTTCTCATCAAATTTCTTGCTGTGCTTTTCAATCGTATTGCAGGTTGATGAAGCTCTAATGAAGATAGCTGGCCCCAAAGCTTATTTCATGCATTGCTTGCCAGCCGAAAGAGGGGTGGAGGTGACTGACGGTGTTGTTGAGGCTCCCAACTCCATTGTCTTCCCACAAGCGGAAAATCGCATGCATGCACAGAATGCTATAATGCTTCATCTACTAGGCGTATGATTCCATTGCAATGCTGCATTTTTGAAGGCTAGTGCTTCAATGTTTAAATGGAAAACCGACCAAGGCGTGTTGCCTCTCTAATTCCATTTTCAGCTTAGATACAAACTTTAATGAGTTGAGTTTAAACTTTTTGTTGTGGTTTTAAGTTATCAAATATTAGTATTTTCTCTGGCGATTATTAACCCAATTTCAATAGCTGTACAGTGCTAGAGTGTCAATAATCTTTCTCTCTTGGTGCATATATTCGTTTAATTCAATAACAATATGGAATTACTGCTTGCATATTAAGCCAGACGAGTGAGTAAAAAAGAATGACTCCACAAAGACTTGGCTTTCTTCGTGTACCAGGGAGGACGCAGTCACTGTAAGCTTCCACCAAAGTGGATCTCTCTACCGTTCTTCTGCACTAAATTTGTTCCAACCCTCCTGGAGATTACACACGTATAACAGGCAATTTAGATTATTTCTTGTTTCCCTCCCGTTGTAGAAAAAATAAATTACTAGGAGCAAATCAATGAAAGAGTGGTGTGAGGGTGAGGAACACACCTTTAGAAGATCAAAAACTTTCTCACACGTGTACTTTTGCTGTATGCTTGCCCCTCGTTGCTGCAACTTGTCAGGATGAACACAAAGCGTGGCTTTTCTGTATGCTTTCTTCACAGCTGCAGTCGCTATGATATCTGTAAGCGGTATCGCGTGCCAACCGCTATCTGGGCCCAGGATCTGCCAGCAATGCGACGTAAATGTCAAAAATATGATACTACGATCGTATGATACTTTGCACAACACGTGCATTGGGTGAATTAACTGGGCATTACTGACTAGATTTATGCCCATACATATTGCAATGGGGATAGAGACATTAATGAACACAGGTAGAGAGCTGTTACATACATATTGCAAAGTGGATAGCAGTGCACGTAAATTTCCTTGCTTCCCACTTGACCACCTTTTGACTTCAGCATCCAGTGTTTCTGCTAATCTCTGCAATATATAAATTAGGGTCCAAAACTGTTAGACAAGAACCGAAGCCTTCCTCATAGGTTGCAAAAGATTTCTCATTTCAATTGAACGGATAATTACATTTCTTTCAGCTTGCTCTTTCAGAGCAAGAAGATCACGCTTGTTCTTCTCTGCAAGAGCTTTCGCCTGGAAACGCCAAACCCAAGAAAGAGAAAAAAAGAACAAAACAAAAGTGAGCTTTTCACGTGTCTGGAAATACTTGTCCTGACATACACCAGTGGTTTGGGGGCAGGGGAAGAAAAGAAGAGAGTTGAGAGAGAAAGATTGCAGAATGCATACCGCTCGTTCTGCTGTCCTTTGATGCCTTTCCAATCTAGCTTTACATCTTTGAGCTGACTCGCCAGTAGCTCCATCCAATCCCTCAGAAGAGTTCGAAGCTTCATGAAGCAAAATAAAGAAGAGTCAGGAATCAGGATTTAGGGTTTTTTTTCTTTTTCTTTTGTGCAAAATAACAAATCTAATCTTCATAAAAAATTATGGTTTTGCTTCTCTTTTTTGGTAAGTACATGCAGGGGTATTTTTGAATACCACGTACCACTCTGATTTGAAGAATTAGGATATCTGCCAGTTGCAGGAGGACATGAGCCTTTGTACCGTGAATCCTGAAAGAGATTCTATAGATCATTTCTTTGCCCTTCCATTCCTTCCAAAAACATGCTGCAAGATTAACAGGGAAGATAAATGC